CGGGTTTAATGACACATTTATATATTTACGCGATCTAACCCAAAAAAACCTGTATTATGGATACTTAATCACGTTGTTCAGTGTGGGTTGGTGAAGAAGTTGTGAGGTCAGGCTATGATTAATGCCGTGCGCTGACGACAATGTTACTGCCCCCACAGTACTGTGTAGAGCCTAAATCGAGCAATGTCTGAAGGTGTTCATAGAGTCCGAAGGGTTACATCTATAAATTATTAGAATCCCCATCATGGCAGAAAAAAAAGCTGTGCAAGCCGGAACACCACAAGTTTCGGGTAACATCAAAACGTGTACAAATATCACTCAGCCTCAAGTGTTATGAATTAAATCGTGAACAATTCCTGAACAACTGCATGACACCGTACACTGCAGTCCTCTTGTCAGATGTGTGAAATATGCACATTGCTTGAAGTTGAAAAATAGTGCGTTTGAAGCAATTAATGCCGGTTTGGAGGTTATAAGGCAGCAGTCGGCAACCCAAAATAACAGCAAAAAAAATCAATACTTAAAGAACCGCAATGTATGCAAATACGAGACGATGGTCCTAATAAACGAAGTCCTGAAGCAGTCCTCGTAGAGTCGCGTGCAGCTCCAGAGCCGCAGTTTGCCAACCCCTGGTATAAGGTAAATTCATCGTCTTAAAAAAAAATGTGTTCTGATGCACGTTGATTGAAAAACAAGACTCAAAAGGCTTGGATGTGCCAGTGGACAAGAGGTGTAAGTCCATCAAGCAACTTAATCAGAATCTTTATTTATCCTGGCTCTTTTTCGCAGATGTCCAGTAGGGGCGGGTCAGAAAGTTACGACAAACAATACAAAAATACGAAAGGAGTGCAAAGTATAGGAAAGGTAAACAAATCACTCAACACAAATATACTACAAATACATTATTATTATTATTATTTTACCAAATAAAGCCCACTGAGCTATTATTTTTGCAAAAGCAACCTGACCACCAATGCTAGCTTAACGAAATTGATTATCACGTGAAAATGTATAGCAGCCACAATAATATAAACGCACGTTTATAAATGTGGAGGGAAAAACCCAGAGGACCCGGAGAAAAAATTCCACGAGACCACTGGGAGAGAGACACGCAAACTCCAAATATACAACGGGAGTCAGGGTCGGGTTCGAACCCACGACCTCCTGTATACCAAGCGAGGTAGTTGACATCTCACCAACTTTGGCGTGATGTAAGAAGAATGGCACAGACCGAACAAAGGGTTGTTGGGACAAGCTACTCGAACATCCTCCTAAGCATAAGGCCCACGAGAAGCCCGAGTTTCCATTGGTAAAAATATAAATGTAAAGGTACAGCCCTACAATGGCTTGCTCCCGTCACTGCTGGTGAAAGGCCCTCTACTAGAGGGAGTATCTACTCTTCCACACTAGCCAGATTGTTTTTTTTTTAAATCCTTTATATTAAGTTCGCTTGCTTGCTTGCGTGCTTGCTTGCTTGCTTACGACCGTGCAAACCTTTCGGTCGTTTTTTAACCCACTTCCTGTGATCCAATCGAGCTGACATTTTGCACACAGACTCGTTGTGTGAGACAATTAATGTTCGTGAAAATTTTTTTCTAAAATTTTACACTGTTTAGGGAAAACAAATTAAATATTTAATTACCAATTTCTTAATACTGGCAGACAATCATCTGACCCATAGGTGGCAGCCATCTCAAGCCAGAGGACGAGAGGACTCTAGCCGCCACGCATATAAAGGATTTATAGTGAAAAACTTTGTTTTTACGGATTATACTTATTTTAAGATGTGGGAGCATCCACGGTGTGCCCACCAAATGTAATGGCATGAGGCAAATCTCGCAGTGCTGCACCTTTTAAAATGTTCATGGAAACGCTCGATAAAAATGTGAGAATATTAAACAAAAATTCAAAAGAGGGTTGTGTACAACAAGTACAACTGCAGTGCATGTTACCCCTCGATTTACGAACGCGTTCATTTTACAAAATTTCACAAAAAAATGCAATTGACAAATTATGGGCACTTTTCGATTTACGAAATCGAATTTCCCCATGAACGCAAATTTCACCACGGCACGCGCCACATGAGATCATGAAGCCACGCGGAACTCTGCGTCGTCATCCATCCGCCACAATGTCGCGGTGTCCCTTCCAGCAGAACCGCAACGTCCTTCACATCACCTTGACAGCTATTAAATGCCAACATGCACATCCTTTGGTGAGGTCCCTGGAAAGTTGAATATATTTGATGAATTACGATTCAGTCATTCTAATGACTACGTTCTTTATTCTTTTATTTGTATTGTGCAAAGTGATATTGGTGCATATGTTTAGGTTAGGAATAGCACTGGAATGACACGACTGAAACACATCCCTCACTTTTTTGTATTCAATTAATTGGGAAAGGCAATTCCGATTGACGACATTTCATTTTATGTGTGTTCTTTGAAGAAGACATCCCTAACGGATAGGGATAGCTGTACTTAGCACAAATTAAAATGATGCTGATGATACAAAACCGAAAGAATAATGGACGAAAAGAAAACAGAAAAGAAAATTTAAAATAACACCTTTTACCTTACCACCCATTATTGTGTCCCAAGGCACACTATAATCATAAGAAATACGAACAAAAGAGAAACTCCAGAGACTCGAATGTATTGAAGAGAAATTAGGCAAGAGAGAGATGAAGTTGCCGGAGGATGCAAGAAAACAGAAAGGGACGATGTTGTTGCAACTTCAAACCGCAGCCTGTGTCTGCATTTTAGGAGCACCAACAAAAGGGATCTATTTCCATTTTACAGGCATCTAGTTCTTCTATGTTGAACTAGATACTCCTTACAACGCAATGGGTATTTTTTTTTTGTTTCTGCAGCTAACCCAGTAAGTGGCTGACCCTCTGCGCCAAGACCATGGAATGCCCTCCCCACCAGTGGTTAGACAAGGCGAGCTCACTCACCATGCTACGTCTTCTTTCGCATGCAGGCCTGCACTCCCCACGTATGACCCAGTGGACTCTGGACTCTGTAGTATTTACATTTACCAACTTCGTGCATGGGAGCACTGAGATCCCTCGATGAATTGCCCCTCGTTAATGTAATTTATGATTATTAGCATCATTCGAACAAATGTAAAGGTAAAGGGGCAGCGCCGTAATGACTCGCTCACATCACTGTCGGTGGAAGGGCCTCCGCTAGAGGGAGCTTTAGAGGCCCCTTCAAGCTCTAGACCAGGGGTCGGCAACCTGCAGCTTCGAAGCCGCGTGCGGCTCTTTAACGACTGCTTCGTGACCTCATTTATTAAGGACCCACCGACTCGTATTCACCACAGTGCATTGCGGCCCTTGAAATATATATGTTTTAAGTTATTCTACCAAACTAGACAAACATGTCTCCTCTTGTTAGTTTGGTTGCCGGCCCCTGCCTCGGACTATAATCGGCCTAATCTTCCACGCTGGCCAGAACATCGTGACGAAGGATGGGAGTACCCACACTTTACCCCACCGCGCATGACCTGCCGACGACGGACCAGCGCTCCCCACTTACACGGCTGGGTGGCACAGAGGCAGAGGGATTCAAGAAACGTGCACCGTATGATAAGCAATATTTAAAATACTTTTTTTTAAACACGCTTTGATGAAATGTACCGTACGAGTAATGGCAGAACTCCACGACTCCATGAAGTGGCCCCGAGGCTTAGCATAACGTAAGGGACCTTGGTGATTTACAGCCAACGTCAGTTGAGCGTGGACAGTTAGACCCAAGCCGAAACATAACATATAAAAATGAATTTAAAAAAATACTTTTTTATTATGATAGAATATAGTATTGTCATCAAGTTTGCAGTCGATACCACATTGGGAAGTGGGTTTAAATTGAGTTACAAGATTTGAGGATACGACGACAACAACAGACAGAATGAGTTAATAGAAAGCGTGTAAAAATGCAGACACCCCCGCTCGTGGTCCCGAGCCCACCACTCGCCGTCCTGCTATAAACCCACATTTTTTAAAGTTCTGGACTGGGGACTGCGGATTTTCTGTACCCCTGCCCCGAATCCCCTCCGCGCGGCATGGTTTGTGTGCTGCACCCGGCTCTGATTGAAATATATTACAAAAAATATATAAACACAAAAAAAAACTTGCACTGTTGTTTCAGCTGCCAGGGCGGGCGATCGAAACGGCGACCTCTTGATTGCGAATCCCGTGTGATGACCAATTAGACTGGCAGCTTCCCTAAGATAATCATATGCAGATATAGAGTTTATAAAGATATGCCTCCATTTTCCAAGAGATGATGCATTTACCCACGGTTTTGTACAGTGTCTGGAGATCTTATTTTTATCTAATTTATTTGTCGCCTTAAACAAGGCTCTAAACAGATTATTAGGAATTGTACAGCAAAACAGCGTGATGAGATGAGATGGGTTGATGAGAAGGATGAATATAACGATGCATTAGATAAATGATGATGATGATGAAAGTGGCAATGAGTGGTTGATGATGAGTGGGTGCGATGAATGGGTAGGGAAATTGCGAAGAGGGATGGAGTTAATGATGTGGGACAGGAAGGGGAGTTGGGGTATGCAAGGGAAAATAAGTGAGTTTTGAGGCAAGAACGAAAAATAGTCAGGCTGAATGTATGTTGAACTTCTTTCACACCGTACGTAGCCAACCGTGTGAACTGGAGGTGCGATTGTTTGACGTAGAGGGGAAGTTTGTTCAAGCGTAAGGCGGCTAGAAGTGACAAAGAATGGAATAGTGGTTGGGCATAAGAAGGAGGGGGGGGGGCAGAGACAAAGACGAGGGAAGCGAGACAGAATATATAAATACAAATTGTCTTGTTTGTTTAAAATGTCGCACACAGCATGTGGCAGTGGTGTCTGGATTTGTTGTTTGGTATTAATTTACAAGTTGTATGGCGTGTTTTTTTCTCCAGTCCTGTTGTTGACCGCGTAATTCTAATGTGGTGGGTTGTCTTTTTTTTTCCTCTCATACATTTCAGGAGCTCCTCTGATATGGTGGAAATTGAAAAAGCACTTGGAACACTGTCCAAAAAATTCTCTCATGCTCATCACTCTCATCTTGGAACATTTACAAAAGGTAAAAAAATATTTTTTTTCCATGATGAACACATATATCCCCCGTATAGCCTGGAACAGACTGTTGGGGCAAGTGCTGTTAACGAGTGCCTATGAAGTCCGGCACGGCACACGAGGGAGTGGGTAGCCAACGCCACGCCCGACCGCCTTTGTCTCCTGATTGGCGATGGTTACACACATTGCACTAGCTACTCATTTGAGGCTGAGTCGACCTAGTGCAGGCCCAGGACCGGTTCAGATAATCGTCACTGGTGTTGGCCATGAGCAGGAATCGAACCCGGGTTGCTGGGTTTGTAGCGCAGCGTGCTAACAGCTACACCACCGCTACCCATGCTCACCATTTCAGTGACACATGCGAAAACCCCATCACTCACTTAAATATTCGTGCAGGCCTGAAAAACAAATAGATTTAACACTCAATGCATGTTGAACTTTTTAAATGTAAAATCACTGGATCTCCAATATGACCACATACAATACATTTGTCACAGCTGCAGGAACCGTAAAGACATAACATTGCAAATTGGAGGTTCGTAGGTCACACAGCTTCCAAGTCATGGGTCATTGAAAGATTTGACATTTTTTTGGGTTGTCTGCGTGCCATGTTCGACTTTTGAAGCCATAACTCCCTAATATCTGGAGCTACCCTAGAACACGAAAACGTAATTGAAAATATCTCGTGTAGCCCTTTCCAACTCTACAAAGGGACACGATATTCCCATTAAAAGTTAATGCACTCATGTTCCGACCCACACACAGGTTTACAAAAATAAAACCTAATTAGACCAACAACCCTTGAGATGTTACACTGTTTTTCATGTAGGCAGCAATAGGGATATGCACCCGTGCCTGTGCAATATATCAAGACTTAAAACATTTACGTAGTAGTATATAGCAATTTTTTATTGCTCAACTGTCACGCCAGGAGATGACATCGAACTCGCCACTTCGAGATTGCAAGCCCAGTGTGATAACCATCGCAGCATGGCAGCATCCACTCCACGCGGTAAAAGTTATATTTGACGATACGTGTGCCTGAAGAAGATCTGGATGTGATGTTTTTACATAACATCCCTGACTGAATATATAATGACTATCTCCCTGCCGCGAGAAACTCATAACAGATCCATTTACTGCTAACACAGGTGACAGACGGTGTGCAAAGTGGGAATGTGAGCGATGTGCTTTTACACGTGCGTGTGTGTATGTGTGCGCTCGATTCTCGCTCACGGCCAACACCAGTGACGATTATCTGAACTGGGCGTCCCCTATGTCGACTCGACCTCAAATGAGTACCCAGTGCCACAGGGAGATAAAGGTGGCGGGCCTGGTGTTGGTCAGCCACCTCCTGGTGTGTCGTGCCAGCCTTAATAGGTGCTCGCTAATAGCACTTGCCCCAACAGTCTTTTAAGGCTACACGGGGGATCTTTGTCTTTGCCATTGCCGAGTGTGACCCGGCCGTCATGTATTGCAGGTGGAGCAGGATGGCCAGCGGGACAAGGTCGCCGCTCCGCTCATGCTCATGCTGATGTGCACCATCGCACAGGTCAGCCGCCTCCCAGCAACATGACAATGTCGTGGGTTAAAAAAAAAATGTATACTTCTATTTTGGGAATCAAGCCACAAAGTAACGACAACAGTTTGGGATAAAAGCATTCAATTATGGGTTTAACGTAATGAAGAGGACTGGTTTTAAGACTGCGCGGTTAGAAGGTATATGCATAATCAACGTTTTTGGGTTTAGATCGCGTTAAACCCAAAAACGTTGATCATGAATAATATTGGTCGCGAAAGCCTACGTGTTAAACTAGAAGGTATATGTTTACAAATGAAGTCTTTCCAGTTTCAACTTTATAATGAATAACTAGCTGTACTACCCGGCTTCGCCCGGGTCTTGGATACACGACGCCAGGCCGCCTTTGTCTCCCCAGTGGCGATGTTCATACGCCACACCAGTTACTCTTTTTGAGGCTGAGTGGACCTAGGGTAGGCCCACGACCGGTTCAAATAATCGTCACCGGTGGTGGCCGTGAGCGGGAATGGAACTTGGGTGGCCGGGTTCGTAGCGCGGCGCGCTAACCACGACACTGCAATGCGTTACGCTTACACATGCGCGGGTCACATGACATATTTGACGTCACAGGTCAATTGGTGTACCAAAATATATGAATTATTGAGCTCACCCCCTCCCCTAAAAAAAGTGTATTTTGAGAATGTTTGCATGGTGTACAGTCTGCAAAGTAGCCCCATGCGAAATTTGCTGTTTGTTGCATGTCGGGAAATACGGTTAACATGTTGAACAGACACACATATTGACAACTTTGGCAATTCGCAGTAAAACCCGCCGTTGCACGGGTCCTCACGTGTTGTCTGAGTTGGAGGCTTTGTATTTTGTGGTTTGCATGTGCACGCGTTGCGCTTGTGGCGGGTACATAAGTGGGGACAGAGAAAGATGTTAAAGTGTATCGAATAATTTATTAGGGAGTGTTATAAAAAGGTAAGTAAAGAGTGTGTTTAAGTGAAGTGTTTAAAGATAATTGATTACGGAAGTTTAGAAACTAATCAATGAGAACTTGTGGGTACACAATGTTTTTCGTGATACCGCCAGGTGCGTAGACAAATAAGTTTTTGGCGGATCCGACGCGAGAGCAGGCCACGTATAGTTGGCCGTGGGCAAAGCAAGGCGTTTGTAGATTGATCCCAGCAATTAGGAATGTTTGACCTTGAGATTTGTTAATGGTCATTGCATAAGCCAAACGAATGGGGAATTGCGTTCGCTTGAAGGGAAATGGGACATCTTCGGCAATAATGGGGATCCGTGGCAATAGCACTTCAACCCCTTTGTGACTGCCAGTCAACACAACTGCTTCAATTAAGTTTGGAAACAAAGACTTGACACAAAGTCTTGTACCATTGCAGAGTTTTGGAGCATTGAGATTTCGCAACAAAAGTATAGGTGCGCCAACCTTCAGCGTGAGTTTGTGTTGAGGCATGCCTGGCAATTCTTGAGAGTCAAGAAATTCAGTGGGAAAGCGTACTGCATCGTCATTTTCAAGTGTCTTGTTGAACGACTTGTACGTCACAGCAGGCTGTGGCAGCAACCCCAAAATATGAGCATTGATTGCATTGCAGCAGTGCACTGACCGAATGTAATAAGCAGGCTACAGTGTACGTAATATACTGGCAGTCCGCTCAGCCAGCTGAATGAGTATTTGCACAGTGACCTTAGAAAGAATATATTTTTTGCGCGTCGGGTTAAAAAGTAATTAGACAGTTGTTTTGTCATTGCTATGTAATGTAGAAAAGATTTGTTAAGAGTAAAAATGTATTTTCCTCCCGGGCAACGCTGTGTATAGCGACTTAATACGACAAAGTCGTCGCTTGACTTGGATCCACCACGGCGGCAAAACCGACATACATACACACACAGACATACACACATACACACACATACATACACACACATACACACAAACACATACACACAGACATACACATACACGCAAACACACACATACATGCACATAAACACATACACAATACACACACACATACATGCAGACACAGACAGACACATAACACACATACATACACACACATACATACACAGAAACACATACACACACATACATAGACACACACATACATACACACAAACACATGCACACACGTACATACACACATACATAGAGACACGCAGACATACACATAAAGACATAAAAAAAACCCACATACATACACACACACATACACACAAACACATACATACACATACATACACACATACATAGAGACACACAGACATACACATAAACACAAACACACACACACATGACCCGGCTTTGCCGGGGACTTGGATCCACGATGCCCCGCCGCCTTTGTCTCCCCAGTGACGATGTTCACACACGACAGCAGTTACGCTTTTGAGGCTGAGTGGACCTAGGGGAGGGCCAGGTCCGTTTCAAATAATCGTCAGCGGTGGTGGGCGTGAGTTGGAATCGAACTGGGGTCGCTCAAGCAGCTTAATGACTGTTTGTACAAAGAACATATAAAGAATCGATTATAATAAGCAGGCAAGAGTCCACATTATAGACTGCCAGTACACGCACTCAGCTTCATAAGCAGGCTAGAGTGTACATGATAGAGTGGCAGTACGCTCACCGAGCTTAATAAGCAGGCTACAGTGTACATGATAGACTGGCAGTACGCTCACCCAGCTTAATGAGTATTTGTACAGTGAACATTAAAGTGATCGATTGTTGGCGCGTTGGGTTTAAAAGTAATATTAATAGCACACATTGTGGTGGGGGTGTAGTGAAGAGTAGGAAAAACTTTGATGAATTTACCTCAGAGTGGCGTGGTGGGTGTCGAGGCCTAGTAGCGTGCAAAGCCTGCGGCCTCGCCTAAAATTGTGGGCTTGGAAGAGGCAGGGTACGGGTGGCGTTCCTTCCCCCCCCCCTAGCGCTCCAACAATACTGTGTAATGGCTAATATTTAATTAAATACGGAGCTTATGAAAGTGGCGAAGGCGTGGCTAGCCGTTGGCAGGGGCAACCGCCGTCCAATGAAACTGCAGCCCTTGGCGAAGGCGTGGCTAGCCGTTGCCAGGTCCAATGAAAGCTGCGAAGGCGTGGCTAGCCGTTGCCAGGGGCAACCGCCGTCCAATGAAAGTGCAGTCCACACACACACACACAGACACACAGACATGAACGATTTTATATATATAGATGGTGGTTATTTGCTAATAGTTCCAATATTTAATCCAGAAAAGCCTTATTACGAACATCATAACAATGCTACTGCTAAGACTTTTCACTGCTGTGATGTACTTTTTTTGACCGTGTAAAGCCTACTGAGCTGTTAGATATTTTTCAGAGGTGACCTGGCCACCATGATAGCTCATCAAAGTAGCTGATCATATGTGTAAATTTATAGCAGCCAAATAAACACATGTTTTTTAATGTGGAGGGAAACCCAGAGGACCTGGAGAACAATCCATGCAACCACTGGGAGAGTGAGATCATGCAAACGCCAAACTCAAAATATACAGCCTTCAGGGATGGGATCGAACCCACGGCCTCCTACATACCAGGTGAATGAGATAACATCCTGCCACTGGCAAAGCGTTAGACGTAACGCTGAACAAAGTGTGGTACAACCCGAAGACACATCGGATGAGCTCTTCATTACACAACGTTGTCCCACAGCGCACGACACGCCGTTCGATACCAACTTGAAAATACCCAGGCTACTTTGCGCAGCTGTGATGTAAGGGGTAGTTTGCGATAAACTACCACAGGGCGTGACAACCCTGCCTTACGCGAGTCCTAAGCACAGCTGGCCCGGCTGTAAGTACCTGGTAAGTGCCCCTCCCAGGGTTACGTGGTTTTCTCACTGCCTTGTGAGTGTCTCGGGTGAGTCAATGGCTAAGGGAGTAAACCCCGACAGAAAATCAGGAGTGGGGCCCTTTATGCGGTTTTGTGATGCACAGCGACACATTCCCGGCAGCCCCTGCAGCAAAACTGGTACCAAACGTCGTGCTACGCACTCCTTTGGGCCTCACCAGCAAGGCCAAGGGGGGGATCCTGACGCATGGGCAACCCAGGATTTCCAGAGTAACCTGCCCGGGCTTTGCGCCAACAAGAGGTGCACAAATGGGGAGAGGACACTCCTCGGCCACCTGCTTGTGGCCAAGAAACACGGACGGCAGCAGTCACGGGTTATAAGCTCATTTTGGATTGGCGTAAAAAATGGGCGCCACGGGTTGCCATCGTCGGTGGGAGGGGTTATTGCACCCCAATAGATAGCTACCGCCCACCTCAAGCTGGGCAGCCCCCGGCTAATAAGGTGCTTTCCCGCCACAGCTCACCTGCTCCAATGGGTGCTTGGAGCTTATGGTTCATCACCAGAAAAGTGGGCTGCAACACCTGCACCAGACAAAAGCGAAACAAAAGGAAAGAAGGTACTAACCCTTCATTTTGCAAGCTGGAATGTACGTGCAATGTGTTCTGAACTCTCCGAAGATCTATTGCAGATTGAGGACATCCGCAAGACTCAAGTTATCGACAGGGAGCTGGCGAGATTCCATGTGGATATTGCAGCATTTCAGGAGTCCCGGCTTGCTGGCAGTGGCTCACTATGAGAGAGTGACTACACTTTCTACTGGCAAGGCAAACAGCGGAACGAACCAAGGCAACACGGTGTTGGGTTCGCCGTCAAAAACACACTCCTTGGCATGATAGAGCCACCAACCGCAGGCTCTGAGCGGATTCTGCTCATGAGACTGCTCACTGCTTCTGGCCATGTAAACATCCTGAGTGTCTATGCCCCAACACCCTACTCACCTTCGGAGATTCATGACCAGTTCTATGAAGAACTTCACAATATAATTCGCAAAATCGTGAGCTCTGAGCACATGCTTCTGTTGGGAGACTTCAATGCAAGAGTTGGAGCTGACCATGGCGCGTGGCCCGCATGCCTTAGCTATCATGGCATCGGAAAGATGAATCCCAGTGGCCAAAGACTACTGGAGCTCTGCTCATACCAC